ATCAGATGGATATTCTTTATTGCTTCTTTACCAAAACAAAGTTGAACTGTTTGTTAAGAAGAAAGTACTGTCTATGTGTCTTTCTTTCTATAAATTATTTCCTAAAAAGTTGTGGAGTTTCGATCAATTTGCATACCATAATAAATACTTGAGCCATTTCTGGTTTACAGGGCCAGCTGTTTTCCCTAGCTTCAGCTCTGTGATTAAGGATTAAGGAAGGGATGCAAAATGATGAGAAAGGCACAGGGCAATTGCTGCCTTTGGGAGATTTAACAGCACGCTGAGAATTTTTTATAATCTCTGCATTTCCCTTCTTTTATAGTTAAACAAGAAAAACTTTACCAAAAAAAGCCATTCAAAGATTATAACTCAACATTTCAAAGGCAAGTTTTATTTGAATCTATTTCAAGAAAGTATCCTAATGTTCATATTCAGAAACATTACAAAACCTAAACACATACAGGCAACCTCCTGTAAAACCCAAGTATAGAACAAATTCTCTGTGAATCTAAACATTTCTATCCATGTGAGTACATGTAAGAATACTTGTGTTTTGATACTTCAATGTAGTATTATCTTATGTGTTTCAGTATTTTTTTTTTGGCTGGAATTTTCAAGATTTAATATTCAATTGGAAAGAGGGGGAGCCTTGGAATTCTTTTGAGACATGCCTTATTCATCATGAAGTCATCCTGAAAATATGGCAGCCAGTAACACTTTTGTAAAGAAACGTAGGTTCCATTTTACAAGTGTAAATATCTGCTGAGGTCTGTCTTTAAATGTGTACCTAAGAGTAGGAAAGGTTGAGAAAGGAGAGAATCATGCTTTTCCCCTGTATTCAACTTTGATTGTCACGAAGGGAAATATTTTACATAAAATATTTTGTGGAAGTATTTTATGTAAAACTTTCTACAATACAGAGATTCAGGGAACAGTTTGGTGATCGTTCCTGTCCCTTTTTACAGGGCTATTATGATCTCTAATTCTGAGCAAGGTACACTATTTACTTAGAAGCCATTAGTTCACTATTTATTTACAACTAGTAGGCAAGTTAAGGAATGCAAAATACATGATTCTTCTGCTAATTTTTTTCAATCTTAGGTTTATTTGGGGGAAATTTCTTCCTTTCTTTATGCCAAGAATGGCTAACATTTGTGAATGTCAAGTGACATAAAACCCCGTTGCATGTATTTCCCAATGTCAAAGGAGGTTGAACTAATGCTATAAGCAAAGCTGTAACATCAAAGCATAGAATGTTAACAATTTAGTTTAACAGTTCCTTGTAGATCAGACTTTGTTCGTCGTTAAGTAATCTTTTTAGAAGTTACTTAAAAATTCAAGAACTGTATGGTTTTGAAATTTACAAACTCCAGTGATTCCAAGGAAGGAATATTTGTTTTTCTAATTGCCATTGGTGGCTGCAAGCAATGAAACAGTAACCAGCTTATTTTTAGCTATTTTTCTGTTTAATTCCTTTTATGTAGAGAAGACAAAAACTCAAGGCATTATGAGGAAACTAGGGGAGATTAAAGAGAAATCACTGTAGAAGCAACTTTTCAGATAAGTGCATGGTTCTAAATACTCCCTGGGCCAAAGATGGTCCAACTTTTCTGAAAAATGAAGAGGTCAAATATGTGTTTGACCTCCTTGCCAAGTGTGGGTAAGTTGATATCTATGAAAATTTATGAATATCCCCTCACTACCTGTCTCCTCTATTCCCTGTACTGCCTAGCCTGACTCGTTTATTTTTCTTTAATTAAAGCAGCTACTAAGAATAAGATACATAAAGAATTAAAGGAAGTATGTGTGTGTGTGTGTGTGTGTGTGTGTGAGAGAGAGAGAGAGAGAGAGAGAGCGAGAGAGAGAGAGAGACAGAGAAAGAGAGAGCGACAGAGACAGGGAGAGACAGAATTAGTATTTAATGAAAATGTAAGAAAATCTAACTGTATATACTTCTGACACACAATTGCCTATTTATCTAATGATACTGATAGTAAACAACTGATTTTGAAAAGTATATAAAAAAGAAAAACAGACACAAAACAGGAAAATAATGACAATTTTAAATGGTTCCTAGAATTATATGATTTTTCAAGCATAAAATTCTTTTATTTTTTTCCTTTCAAAACATAGCCAAGAAGCAAACATCTATCTTTGCTTTCTTTGCAGGAAAGAACCAGTGTCTGGATGAGTTCCAGGCCATCCAGACAGCTATTTCAACTGGAACAAGTGACCTTTGGAACAGACTAGAACATAATAGCCTAGCCAGACAGAGGGGAGGGAGTAGGCAATTGGGAAGGACCCCAACATATTCTTCTGAAAGCTCATTTGAAATAAGAGGACAATAAAAAGTTAAGGACAGAAAAATGAACTTAAAAATACTTCAAACCAGTAAAAACTGTGACCACAATATGGGATTCAAGAAAAGTTACAGTTCTGAGTTTTTAACTGTCATTTTTTAATATACTTGCTTACTATATATACTTCTTCAACCCCTTGAGCACAGGCCCTGTCCCTTAATTACATAACATTCATGTTTGAGTCTTCATAGCCTCTTTGACACTCAGTAACCATTATTTTGTTTTTCCTCTATCAGTTGGGCCAGACTTCCTTCGTCTATGATTCTATGGTGATTGTCAGACAAACTGCAATAATTATCAAGAGCTTTACTTAGCAAATTATTGCTACAATAGAATTTAAAATAATAATAAAGATTTTATTGGAAATAAGATAGTGGTTATCTTCTCTCAACATTTATTTGAAGGCATTTTGTTCTTTTCCAAGAGAACATAAAAAATATAAATTCAGAAAATTAGCAAGAAGCATCTAAATAAATACTCAATCTTTTAATGAATGCTATGGACAAAGTGTTGTACTTGGTACCAAAGAGGAAGGATGTGAAGGCAATCCTTCCTTCAAAATGGTTGAAAAATACATAGCAAAGTTTTAACAAATGTTTTATTAAAAATACAAAAGGAAAGATATTTCTTAGACAATGTTATTGATTTTTACAGAACACATTAATTATCATAAGTTAATTATGTCCAAGGTACTGAGAAAATATTATGAGATTTCAGAGTGTTTTTTCATAGAGATCTTTGTTATTCCAGTGAATACTGAAAAATGCTTTTAAGAAGACAATTTCTATAGCTTCTAGTCAGGTCTTCTTTAATGGAAATGTAGCTAAGGTAAAGAAACTAAATTGTTACAAAATTTGTGTTAGTCCTGGTGGTATTATTAACTGACAAAAAGCACACTGTTAATGATACAGAAATAAGGAATTTGGTTATTTCAATTTATCATGTACTGTCAGAAAAATGAGAAGTTTGCCTTTAAACTCAACTCCTTCTTAAGCATGCCATCTTTTCTGCATTATTTAACTATGATTTTGGAAGTACTACAGTACTGATTAGAAGCTAAGAAGTAAAGCAGAAAAAAATGAATCCAGTGACAGACAATGCTATCTGCTACTTAAATAATATTCATATTTCTCAGATTATATTTTGAAAGCAAGAAAATAGATCATAAATGACTTTAGGAGATGGTGTTCTTGCTAGCTTAAGAAAATCCCACTTGGAATTTTAGAGAAATTATGCTTTGCGGGAGGGGGTTTCATTAGTGGATTATCATGGACCTTAACAACAGAAGGTCAAAACATGAAATAAATATACAAGAATTAAGGTTTGTGTCAAATTCGTGAGACGGACATTAGAGGGGGGAGATCTTAAATATTTATCTAAAGTCATATAGGAAAAAGACACTTTCTGCAGGGGTCCAAGGGCAATCCAATCATGACTGTCAAATTAATGAGCTCCCTATAAAGGGTGTAGTTTAGGTGGAGTCTGAAATTCAGTTGTCAAAATTGAGTCCAAGATTCTTCAAGTAATTTAACAGAGGATGAAGCCCAAAATCATGAGTAAATATTGAATTTGGAAGTATATGTGGAAACACTGGAATAGAAAAACATTAACAGCCAGTTTTTTCAGGGTTATGCTAAGTAACATAAAAACGAATAAAAAATATCACTATTTAGACATGCAACATATTATCTATCAGATATCCTACTGAAAATACATTCCCATAATATTATTAAATTTTTTTAGGAAAGTCCAAATCTAAAATAAAAGAACAAAAAGAGATGAAAATATTTTTGCCATTGGCCTGTCCTGATAGACTTCACATAGGCGGTCTGATATCTGACATCAGCTAGTACGAGGTACCCAGACTTAAATACACTTAAATATAAATGTTCCCAGGGAAATTTTTGGTTCACACAGTGCTGTAATACATATTGGCTTTTATTTATTCATTTACAGACTTCCCATACTTTCCCTTTATGACAATAAACTGACTAAAATCAGGGATCCCGTCAATTTAATGATATCTTTAACATCTGTTAGCAAACTTACTAGATATTTTCTTACCCACAAATTACATGTTATTCACATAAAGTGAGTAATAAATGAATTTTATTGAATCAATTTATGAATCGTTCCTTGGTGTTCAAAGGCTGTGCATGTGAGTCCCCTGCCCCTAAAATACTTAACATTATGTTTTAAAATTGATTCAAAACTTCATGATTGCACTCTTAGTCATAACACACATTCTATTATCAAGTCCACCTTTATAAAACTATCAGCCAAGACACCTTTTGTATTACTGCTAAGTTTAAAAAAGCCTCCAGTTATGAAATTGATATTTACATAATACAGTTTTTGCACCAGATGCTTCTGGTAAAAGGAAACAAATCATGACCTCTCTCACCAGCAGGATCAGTCCACTGTTTTCACAACTGAATGATATTTGCTCATAAAGTTATGTGTGTGGGCTGCAAGAAATGAAGTTAGAGGTAAAGTTCTTTATTTCTTCTTTGCCTTTCTCTCTCACTCTCTCCTTTTCTTTCAGCTCCATTTATGATCAAGAAAATCTGTCACATAATTAGCTTCAGAATGTGTCTAGATTAATTAGAGATTGTTTAACAAATGAATTATGCAATTTAATTTATCTAAAATCATTTATTTTCAGGAAAACCAAACATATCATTGAGTTTACATAGAAATACAATTTTCAACCAGATCTTCATAAAAACGCACTGGAGGAATAATGACCGATTATGTACTATTTAATCATGCCAGTAGCAGAGTTGATTACCATTAAAAATTGGTAAAGTAACATATCTTAAGTGTGCAAATACCATCTTAGTACTCTATTGTGTTACCATTGATAATAAATGGCCACTAAATATATACCCATTACATAAATCTTTTTAAAGTACAATAAAAATACAAATTCTATCTGTTAAAAAAAAGCCATTTATAAGGCTTCTAAACATCCTCATACAAATTCCAAAATACTATCTGACAAACAAAATTATAAAGACTCTTCCTTATGAAACATATATTTCCCTCTAAGTAAGGTATGACTTAGCAGATGAAAGAAACTAAACAGGAAGGCTCATATATACCATATAACATTATGGAAAAACACACAAATATATATTGCATAAGCGTATTTGATTTCTTTTCCTAGTGAAAATGTACCTTGAACACTTGAAGAAAATTCCCATGAGTGAAAGATGAATCTATTTTTGAGGACTACCCCTAACCTAAGTCACATTTTCATTAATGTAGTTTATTTATCTTATAATGTGATGAAACAAGTTAGAAATTTTGACCATACATTTTTATTTTACTGAGTACAAATTAGTCTGTTACATAATGTTTATCAAGAACAAAATGAAAGAGGAATTACTGCTCATGTTGAAGACTAAACTGAGCAGCAACTAGGTTTTTTTGAAAAACTGAGATTTTTGACTTTAACAAAACAAATACAAATTGACTTTACCAAATAATATTGATAATTCATATAGAACAGGTGGTGCAGATTTTAAGGTATCAAAACTAATAGGGTATCAGAAAATAAACTTTGGTGAAAAATATCTTCATCAAAGAAGAAAATATGAGAAGGGTAGTTCTTATGCAGTGAGGAGAAATATATTTGGTAAAGTAAATATGGATAATATCATTGAAACTATAGATAGCATATATTCCAAATGATTTTTAGGTAATATCAAATCAGATGATGCTTCACCATTATAGTAATGTAACTTCTCTCACTTGGAATAAAATTTAAATTTTTTAAATAAATAGCAAATTTTCATTTGTTCACTATCTTTATAAAACAAATTATGTATTTGGAGTATAACTGATCAAAACTAACATCACCTTGCATTTACTAATAAATACTCTAAATACATTTGGTTTACTATTGGAATTTATATCCTTATAATTTTACCTGCTAGGAATTAGTGACCTTGTGGCATTATATTTAAAGTTTACATTTTCCCAGTGATGTGAACAGTATTTATATATGAAATAATAACTGTCTAATGAATAGTAACATGTTTGTTAGTTTGAAAACAAAACATGTTTAGTTTGGCATTGGTATATCTCTTCAGAATTTAAAAAGTTATCTATCATTAAGGTATGGCTTTTGGGAAATCATTAATAAACTAGCAATCTGGAAAATGAATACAAATCTCAAGATGCTAACTACATAGAACTCAGACGCAAGGCAGATATTTGTATAATATGTCTTTCAATTATAAATTCATCTACAATAGAAACAAAGGAACATACAAGTATGATCTACTTTACAGGAAGTTGTTTTTAAAATAAAAATTACAGATCAATCGTGAAGGTGAGGAAATTTAACTGAAATAATTTTCAAAACAGTAAAATATTCAAAAACATATTGGCACATGAATAATACCTATCTTAAAGTAATAATAAATGACATGTGTATATAAACACATTTAACACAAGTCAGGATTTCTTGTTCTTGACATCAGCACCTACTGTCTAATGGGTCGAGACAAAATACTGTGCCTTCAAGAGTTAGTCCCATTTTGAACCCCTCCTGTAAAAGAGAATAAAATCATTAATATCCGAAATGCTCACAGTAAAATAAAATAAAATCAGTGAATAAAAAGACTATGAACTGAAGTTGAAACCTTCATGCTTTGATCAACTAATAAATAACTACACATCAAATGTTGACTTATTGAATTTTTATATAGATGTATAGCACTGGCAGTTCTTTTAGATCCCATTAACATTTCAATGTTTTAGAGATATATGAGGTTAGCATGTATGAGAGACAGAAGAAAATACATAAAATTAGGTAGTTCTAAAATAAAGGTTTCTTTTTCAGAAAAGTCGAGTTATTACATTATTCTACTGTAACTGAAATCTGTTAGCTTTAAAAATTATTAATTTAAATATTATTAAGATAGACTTCAAATTGATGAGAGACGCAAGATAGCCTGATGATTTTCACCTTTTCTTCCTGGTTAACCCTGACCAGAGCCTTGGCAAAATATTTCTTTTAAATGCAATGCCATATCCTCTGTGGAACACACAACTGCAGACTACTTTGCCATGGAGAAAGCTTCCCTTACTAGTCTCGCTGTTGCTTATAGTGGACTGGCTTATTTGACTTCTACTCGCCTTTGCATATTTTAGAAGTTAGGTTGTCTTTGATTTATTAAGTGTGAGAAACACAATTGCTATGAAACTGTTTATCCACCAAGACTTTGAGTTAAAAGTTAATGGCAAAGGAGTCTGTCCTTCTCCACTCTAATCTATTTCTCGCTTTTTTTTTTTTTTTTTTTTTTTTTTTTTTTTTTTTTTGGCATAAGATAATTGAACTGTGGGCCATCTCCAGTCTTACCACCTCTTCCCATTCCTAACCTTTCTTGTAAATCTATATATATTGGCCTACAAAAAGATGAAAATCACAGACTCCCATTGATCAATGGAAGTGGAGGTTATATTGTAGGTCTCCTTGTAGATGCAAATGTGGTAGTGCTCCATACATACTCTACCTTTTTTTTTCTTACTAACAGAAGTGAAATGTTTCAGAAAGGTAATTTGTCATTTGGAGTGGCCACGTGATACATTATTGGCAAATAATATGTAGACAGCAGTGTATTCCTAAAGAAAACAAAATGTCTCTCAAAGGGAACCATTGGTTTCATTCACCTCTGCTTCGGATGTTTTATTTAATTAGACTGACTATATCTACCTGTAGGTTAGCTAATTGTGTATCATTTTGCATACCCCAAATTACTATTATTTAGAATAAGTATGTAAACGTTCTTATGTTTGTAAAACTCCAATATAAACATCATCATATAGAGGAGAAAAGTAGTTATTAAGCTGCAAGCCACACTTTGTTATTAATGTTCAAAGAATAATCTTCATTATGTTTATAGTACAGAGACTACTAATGTATAGTAATTATGACAATGTAATCATTGTGAAGGTTTTTAAAAAAGTCTTTCCAGTACTTAGAATATAATTTTTATTTAGTTGACTAAATATGAGAGTATTTATCATTATTTAAAAAAAAATCTGTTCTTATCACAAAATATATTTTGCCATACTTATTTATATTTTTCAAACACCCAGCAAATACTTAGAAAAATAAATATTTTAAACTGAAATACTGTAAATAAACTTTGCTTTGAATTATTTCATTAGGCTATCTGAAGCTCTGTGTATTATGTCATCTTCTGGTAGATTATGAATGGTAGATAGATGATACATCGATAAATAATGATAGCTAGAAAGAGAGTTATGTGTGGAAATGTTTGATACCATACAGCACTTTTAAATTTTATCAGTTCATTCGGACAGTAAACTAGTGTCACTTCAATTACCCTGAAAATACTATTTGTCAATGTGTTATCAGACACAGAAAAGCAGAATAGAACAGAATAGCCATCAAAGTAAAATAGAGGTCAATTACTATTTCAATAATAACATGTTAGTATATCACTTACAATAATATCTATCTCCATATTCACTTTTGTTTGAGATGGAGCTTTGCTCTTGTTGCTCAGGATGGAGTACAATGGCACAATCTCAGCTCACTGCAACCTCTGTATCCCGGGTTCGAGCGATTCTCCTGCCTCAGCCTCCCTGAGTAGCTGGAATTACAAGCATGCACCACCATACCTGGCTGAATTTTTAAATTTTTATTTTTAGTAGAGATGGGGTTTCTCCATGTTGGTCAGGCTGGTGTCAAACTCCCAACCTCAGGTGATCCGCTCGCCTCAGCATCCCAAAGAGCTGGGATTACAGGCATGAGCCACGGCACCTGGCCTCTCCATATTGATTTGTTGAGGATCCTTACATATTATAAGGTTTCTTGATTTTCTTTCTTCCTAAGATAAAATTTCCCGCACATTTCCTGATCTTCTTCATAAGTCCCATTTTGCAAATCACAATTTAATAAACTCTGAATCATTCTATATTCTCTTGAGCTTCAAACCTCTTAATAAAATGAGGCTTTATTCACTTATGCAATGATGGGAATTATCATAAGCTAATGTCACACAAAATAATGATTAAATAATTAAAATATTAACCATATGCTTTTTACACGAAATATTTTGATGAATTTTCTTATTTTGAAATACAAAAGCATATCAAGAAAAGAAAAGCCACTACATTTTAAAGTATGTCTTTTTTTTCTATTTATAGGTGTTTAATAATGATTTTAGTAATAGTCAATGCCTATACATTTATGCCATATAACTTTCTTATGTAAGTATTATATTACATATACATAGTTTTCTATCTTCCCCTTTTCATCTTTGCAGACCCTGATTATTTTAAATTCCCACAAAATAATTTATTATGACTATATAAAATATTATTAATTTTTATGACAATTGCTTCCCAGCATTTAAAAATCATGAATAATGTTGACTAGGTATTTTTATTTATAGAGCTTGAACACATTTATAATTATTTGTTCCTCAAAATAGATTACTTTAAAGTTTTGATATCAAATCGAAATAAAAGATTAATAACAAGTTACTCTTTAAATTGATTGCTAGGCCAGAGTTACCTCTAAACTAACTCTGACCTAGCAATAATTTAGAGTGCTTATTTTATCACACGTTCACTTGTATTGTTTATTAATTTAAAAACATCTGCTAGATTAAAATGGCATTTAAGTTCTTTATTTGATTTGTATGTTTACTTTGATTAGACGGAACACGTCTACATATGTGTAAGCCACTTGTGATCTTCTTTTGTGAACTAGTGCTTTTTTTAACTTATCTGTTGATCCTTTAGTTTCCTAGTCATTTGTCTAATTGTTTTAATTATGTATATGTAATGTATTTACATATTTTTAGACAGCAAATTTTTTAAAAATGGATACTATATGTCCATACTTAAGTTTTCCTTATAAAATTTTCTTTCCAATTTAAAAGTCTGATAAATATTCAATACTATTCTAAATATTTTTAAATGCCTCCAGATTTTTTAGTTATCGCCATTCTAACTGGTGTGAGATGGTATCTCAATGTGGTTTTGATTTGCATTTCTCTAATAATCAGTGATGATGAGCATTTTTTCATATGTTTGTTACCTTCATATATGTCTTCTTTTGAAAAGTGTCTATTCATATCCTTCACCCACTTTTGGATGAGTTTGTTTGCTTTTTTCTTGTAAATCTGTTGGTTCTTTGTAGATTCTGGATATTAGCCCTTTGTATGATGGGTAGATTGCAAAAATTTTTTCCCATTCTGTTGGCTGCTGGTTCGCTCTAATGGTTGTTTCTTTTGCTGTACAGAAGCTCTGAAGTTTAATTAGATCCCATTTGTTTATTTTGGCTTTTGTTGCTGTTGCTTTTGGTGTTTTAGTCATGAAGTCCTTGCCTATGCCTACGTCCTGAATGGTTCTGCCTAGGTTTTCTGAGACAACAGATGCTGGAGAGGATGTGGAGAAGTGGGATCACTTTTACAATGTTAGTGGGAGTGCAAATTAGTTAAACTATTGTGGAAGACAGTGTGGTGACTCCTCAAGGATATAGAAATAGAAATTCCATTTGACCCAGCAATCTCATTACTGGGTATATAACCAAAGAACTATTATAAATTTTTCTGTTATAAAGACACATACACATGTATATTCATCATGGCACTGTTTACAATAACAAAGACCTGGAACTAACCCAAATGCCCATCAATGATAGATTGGACAGGGAAAATGTGGCACATATACACCATGGAATATTATGCAGTCATAGAAAACGATGAGTTTATGTCCTTTGTAGGGACATAGATGAACCTGGAAACCATCATTCTCAGCAAATTGACACAAGAACAGAAAATCAAACACTGCATGTTCTCCCTCATAGGCGGGTGTTGAACAATGAGAACACTTGGACACAGGGAGGGGAGCATCACACACTGCGGTCTGTTGGGGGGCTACAGGAGGGATAGTGAGATGGAAGATGGGGAAGGGATAATGTGGGGAGAAATATCAGGTATGGGTGATGGGGGATGGTGGCAAAAAACCACCTTGCCATGAATGTACCTATGCAACAATCTTGCATGATCTGCACATGTACCCTAGAATCTAAAGTACAATAATAAATAAATAAATAAATAAATAAATGTTGATTACTTCTGAAATTTATCTCGGCATTTGCTGTAAGTTTCAGCAGTACATTGATCTTCTCCCAGAGTATGAACCTGTTGACTTAACGCTATTTGTGCAAGCTTCTTTCATCCTTTGCAACCTTGCCATGCTTATTTTTCAATGTATTAAATTATTATAGCTCACATGGTACACTGTGGGCTATCAATACTGTTCCACTTTTTTTCCTGTTGGTGATATCTACTGGAAAATTTAAATTATGTCAAACTGAATAACTATATTATTGATTTCAAATAAATGATTAATCTTCTAACTACTTATACTGAAATATGGCTTAACATTTCTGCATAAATGCTTACATGCCTGAGATGTTTCTGTGATTTCAAACTTAATTCAATCCCCTTTAAAATAGCTTAGTTACAATCTCTGTAAATGAAAGATGAAAACTAAATGTCTCACTAGGCTTATTAACGCAATAGGTATTCAAAACTCATTGTACTACATTAAGTTTTTATGTGATATGCAAAGATAAATATAGTTGCTAAATTGTGTATTAAATTCATTAGGCTAGCAAGATTAATAATAAAAGCTACCACAGACTTCAGATGAAGAAAATATTATTTTACTTTAGTTAAAGTGACCTTGCAAGTAAATCTTGGACTAAAAGAAACAATCATGGCCAAGCATGGTGGCTCATGCCTGTAGTCCCAGCACTTTGGGAGGTCTAACTGAGTACAATGCTTGAGCCCAGCAGTTTGAGACCAGCCTGGACAACATGGTGAAACCCTGTTTTTAACAAAAAATGCAAAAATCAGCCATGTGTGGTAGTGCACACTTGTAGTCCCAACTACTGGGGAGGCTGAGGAGGTAGAGGTTGCAGTGAGCCAAGATAATGCCATTGCTCTCCTGCCTGGGTAGGGTGATAGAGTAAGATTCTGCCTCAAGAAAGAAAAAGAAAAAAATAAAGAAAGTAGACAATACACTAGTGATTAAGTCATTAAAAAATAATCTTAAAATATGGCTTATGAAACCTCTTTAAACATAACTATCAGATTATCCTATAACCATATGAAGCTGTTGTTTGAATTTTTATAGAATAAAGTATGCAAATTTTAAAGTTTCAGCTTTAAAAAGTTGTAAGTTATTTAAAATTATGGTAAAAATAATATACCAACCATCTCTGGCGCTACCCACATGAAAGCAGTAAAAAATTAAGAAAGACATTAAGAAAATATTAGAAACAGCAAAAGCAAAAACACCACAGTTTAACATTATTGGACTATATCACAAAATACAGTGTGTCTCAAACTTGGTTCCAACAAAATCTAGAGATAGAAGTTTATCTTTGAAACTCAGTAATTTTTTTTCCAATTTTAGGAAAATCTAAAAAAATTGTAGAAAAGTACTCTGATCTGGGTAACTCTTGAGAATAAATACTACCACATCAATATTTGTCTTTATTACTACAAAAGTATTAGTCCAAAATAATACATGTCCAATGGGTAAAACTAATATAAAAGGAAAGGAATTGATTTCATATGAAATACAACATTCTTGCTAAATTATCATGCACCATTTGAAAGTTTCATAGTATATGAAACATAGAAAAGAATTAAGAAATCTGTTCCATCAGACACAATACATGTTGAAATCAACAGAAATTTGATACGTTGGTTTTAGTTTCAAAAAATAAGATCATCCATCCTGCACTGGTGGTGTAATTTTGCTTTCATTTAATTTATAATTTATTGAATCACAATTTTATAAAAACTAAAAGGACAAATTGTTTATAACATTTTTGTTGAAATTTAAAAATTGTAAGTTAATACTAAGGATCTAAAATAATTTTTAATGTAAAAGGGAATTAAGAATCATTCAACTTGAGAAACACTGTTATAACAGAGTCTTTGAAAACCTGAAGGCATATGTTAAGAAACCCAACTTTTAAATTCAGGCATGTTACTATATCTAGAATAAAATGAATTCATGCACTACCTAGAAAATAAGACTGCTACACAGCTGGAGTCATAAATGAGTAAAAGGTCATTTAAATGAACTTTCTAAGAAGGATTGTAATTATCAGTGATAGACCAGAGTTCACCCATAATTGTTTTCTCAGGGAAGTGAGGCATAGAGAATGAATGTATTAACCCGACTAATAAACAAAAATACCTCATTTTCCTTACTTTAGTTTCTTCATTGTCTCTTCTCAATCAGCTTCATATAATTGGTGTCTGTCTGGATTCTACCATATATAAACTTTTTGATGAAAAATAGGATATAATAACTTCACCAAAATATAAAGGGCAAATATAAAGGGAAGACTTTATTTTCGTGTTCATAAGACTATTTTTAAATAATGGTCCATAGTGCAAAGCTTTTAAAAATGATTTCTGCAAACTTCAGATCAATTTAGAACAAAAAAGTAAAAGGAAGAGAGAGAAATGAAAACCCAACTGGACCAAATTCCTAAAGAAGTTGTCACTGGGTGTCTGCTTTTTACATAAAAGCCCAAAAGTTATGAATTACAGCTACAATGCTTCTTTTCAGAGAGAACAATTTTAATCTTACAGAGATTTTCCCTCATTTTCTCATCTACAATTTTCAAATTCATAATTATTAAAACTGAGATCAAATCTTATAAATCTAATTCAATGACTTTTAAACTCTGGATTTCAAAACAATGAACCATTAGAATCCGTGACACTTGTATAAAAAAATGAATCATCTTATTGCCATTGTAAATTGAACCATTGAATAACCAACAACCTTATCCTTAGCATATGTAGGAGTATTTTTAGGACTAACGGTACATTATTATTTTTAAGTAATTATTTTAAGTGAGTTTTTATAGTGAAAATAATTGAAGGAAACCATAGTTTTGGTACATAACATCCTCTTTGTCCCAGATCAAAATGAAATAAACCAATTATCAGCCAATCTGTTAAAATAGTCACCTGCATCTCATCTAATTTTGATTGAATATCTGGAGGGAAATCTGCTGCTCCACAGTTAAATGGGTCAAAAGGTTCTGCTCCAAACAGGTCCCGTTCTAAAAGGAAGGAAATAATTTAGTAAATGAAATAACAAGAAGTGAACTGGAGTGATTTCAAAGGCAGGATTATATAAATGAATATTTACATAATCAAATGAGCCACTAATCCACACTTACACTGTATGTTGTGCTTTCCTGCGCTTAGACCAGTTAAACATTAGTATGGAAGAAAAGATCCATTTTATATTAAAAAGTTTTGTTACAAAGAATTATTATCTAGAGAGGTTTCTGTGTTTTTAATGAAGACTTCTTAAAATCAAATTCACCAGTGTTGCTAATTAATAAATTATAATACCTATATTTTATTGAAACAATTTAAATTAGTTAAATTTAATGCATTACTCAATGAGACTACCTTAATTCCATTGATTGATGCCTTGCAACACAATGAGACTACCTTAATTCCATTGATTGGTGCCTTGCAACACAATAGTAAAGCAATACGTAGGACTAAGTCAACTTACAGATAGCTCTGCTCAAAGTTCATGCACTGTTCTCTCTCCTTTTATCCAGAGAAAATTTTAAAGCACTTGTCTTATGCAGTATGTAATGATATCACCTTTCTAGATAGCCACGATGAGATAGATTCTTTAAAAATGCCTCCTATCTCAGAAATACATTTCTTTTTTAAAAGCAGCAGGGATGCAGCATCAAAAAGCTTTCTGTACATATCTTCTAAAGTATGCATTGCTATTTTTTATCACTAAAGGAATATCAAAGTTAAAATTGATGTTTGTAATTGATAGATTATGGCCTCTTATGAGATTTTAAAATAAAATTCTTAAGAAATTCCTTGCCTCTGTATCAATTCAAATGTATCCTTAATTGGAAAAATATTAAATTATATATGAAAATGTGTATTTGTAACATAGTCATACCTTCATTTTGCAGAGAACTTCACATTCTCTGAATTCAATGCTATGTAAGAAATATTTATGCTACTTGATTTCTGCCATATCCTGTAAAATCACTCTGTGATTCTCATTGTGAAGGAGCCTTACATTTCCGGTTATCATGTTTTTTTTTCCAGACTCTTGTTTTAAGTAAGTTAATAACTGTGAAATTCTTATAATCTCTTTGTACTTGCAGGCATTGTATAAATAAGGGGGACATATAATTTATCATCTGATTACAGATACTTTCAAAAGTAAAAGGAGTATTTCCAGTAGTTATAGATTGGAACAATAAATTTCCCTTTGACTAGGATAGTCCTGGCTTACAGATTTTGTCCCAGTGTTGGGGCTATCCTAGTCAAATGGAAATTTATTTTTCTCTTATATATAACTGCAGAGTATTACAATTGGTATTATTTATTTTTCTCAGTTTAGTGTTGCTCAGGCAATAAATCACAATTTAGGTTTCAGAGGATCTTTTCTTTGAAGGAATGTCCTGGTTTCCACTATACCATAAGCAGACTGAACAATGCTTTTCACATAGCAGATGTTTGTTTAAAAATGAATTAATGAAAAGGAAGATTTGCTCAAAAGTTTCTGCTTCAAATAGGTCCCATTGTATAAGGAAGAAAAAATTTAGTAAATGAAATAACAAGAAGTGACTCACTTATATATCATTATGTCTATATAATCTGCATTTCTCTATATTTATTAAACTTTGATACTCAGGAATATGTAGACATTTAAACATCTATCAAGGTGTTACTGCAGCATTCTTGTTACACTTCAGCAAAGAGAATAGCCCATTTTATCCCCGCCCTAGAAATCTGTGGAACTTTGAACTTGAGAGAGATGATTTAGGATATCTGACAGAAGAAATTTCTAAGCAGCAAAGCATTCAAGATGTGACCTGGCTTTTTCTAAAAGCATACAGTCATATGCATGCTCAAAGAGATAATTTGAAATTGGAACTTATGTTTAAAAGGGAAGCAGAGCACAAAAGTTTGGGAAATGTGCAGCTTGACTATGTGGTAGAAAAGAAGCCCCATTTTCTGAGGAGAAATTCAAGCCTGCTGCATAAATTTCCATAAGTAAAAAGAAGCTGAATGTTAATAGCCAAGAAAACGAGGAAAATGTCACCAGTGCATGTCAGACATTTGCAGCAGCCCCTCCCATCGAGGGCCCAAAGGACTGAGAGGAACAAATGGTTCCATGGATCAGGTCCTGCTGCTCTGTGCAGCCTCAGGATGTGGTGTCCTGCTTGCCAGCCACTCCACCTCCAGCTGTGGCTAAATGGGGCCAAGATATAGCTCAGGCCACTGCTTCAGAAGGAAAAACCCTAAGCCTTGGTGGCTTCCATGTGGTGTTGGGCCTGGAGGGGCACAGAAGACAGCAGTTGAGCTTTAGGAACCTCTGCCTAGATTTTAGAGGATGTATGGAAATGCCTGGATAATTGGGCAGAAAATCTGTGTCAGGAGTTGAGCCCTCATGGAGAGCCTCTACTAGGACAATGCAGAGAAACAAGGGGTTGGAGCCCCCACCCAGAGTACCCACTGGGGCACTGCCTAGTGGAGCTGTGAGAAGAGGTACACTGTCTTCCAGACCTCACAGTGGTAGATCCACCAATAGCTTTCACTCTGTGCCTAGCACTCAATGCCAGTCTATAAAAGCAGCCATGGGGGCTGTATCCTGCAGAGTCATAGAGGCGGAGCTACCCGAGGCCTTGGGTCCCATCCCTTGCATTAGCATGCTCTGGATGTGACACATGGAGTAAAAGGAGATAATTTTGGAGCCTTAAGATTTAATGATTGCTCCACTGGGTTTCAAACTTGCATAGGGCCTATGGCTCCTTTGTTTTGCCAATTTCTGTCATTTGTAATGGGAATATTTACCCGATGCTTATACCCTCATTGTATTTTGCAAGTAACTAACTTGCTTTTTATTTTACAGGCTCATAGGTGAAAGAGACTTGCCTTGTCTCAGATAAAACTTTGGACTTGAACTTTTGGGTTAATGCTGGAATAAGTTAAGACTTTGAGAGATTGTTGCAAAGGCATGATTGGTTTTAAAACGTTAAAAGGACATGAGATTTGGGAGGGGCAAGAAGTGGAATAATATGATTTGGGTCTGTGTCTTCACCCAAATCTAATCTCAAATTGTAATCTACACATTGAGGGAGGGACCTGGTGGGAGGTGATTGGATCATGCTGGAAATTTCCCCCTTGCTGTTCTCATGATAGAGAGGGAGTTCTGATGAGATCTGATGGTTTAAAGGTGGCAGTTTCCCCTGAATGCACTGTCTTTTCTGCTGCCAAATAAGATGTGCCTTGCTTCTCCTTTATTTTCTGCCATGACAGTGAGTTTCCTGAGGCCTCTATCCATGCAGAACTGTGAGTCAATTAAATCTCTTTCGCTTATAAATTACCTAGTCTCAGATTGTACCTTTACAGAAGTGTGAAAACAGGCTAATACACTAGTCTCATTACTTTGTATTCACAAATTAGTCCTCTAACATGTATTGAATACCCAACATGAGCAATGTATTTTAAATTCCATGGAGGAAACAAATATAATATGGGCCCTGCCATGTATGAAAGTCTTAAGCTAAAACTTCAAGTTATATTCACAACGACTTAATGTAAACTAGGCAGTGTGCTAGGCAGTGTGCTATCCAGCAGAATGTGTAAAACCCTCCTTTTTTCTGTTTCCTTTTAGACATAGTGACTGATTCATGACCATTGAGATTTATTCTTTCAGTGTCTGTCACAGGGCACAGATGGATATATATTACAGTCAAGATATTGAAAATGAGCATCTGTTAGATGTTTTCTAATTTATCAGATAGAGACTTTAATGCTCATTCCAGATATATAAAAGGTAAAACAGAAAAGCAATGAATTTCTAGCATTTTAGATAGGAAAGAACCCTTACAAAAGGTTAATATGCTCATGAAATTCATATAATTTACATAATTTTTTCAACTAAAAAAGTTCATAAACCCTATGCTGATAAAAATATTTTAATCAGCTCTATTAGACATGTCAAAATTAATATAATTACCACCGGTTATTTTTAATAAAGTAAAAAATTAAAATATAATCCCGGTGATATATAATTAAATATTTTATATTATTATGTAATACACCAAAATATCATTGTTCACACAATAGGTAAAAGTTGCAAATAGAGATGTCTTTAGTAGTATAGTTTGAATTATAAAGTAAAATATAATTAAGGAAATTTATACATATAGAAAAATAATACTTTAATAATTAAAATTGTAAGTGAAGGTTGTTAAGATATGTAATTTCCCACAAAGTCTTAATTATGCATTTACAATGTATACTTTTAAATGTACACAAATATAACAAGGAACATTGATTTGTTGAGAAAGCTTACTAATCTCAGAAGATCTACTAGGCACTGGAGGTGGCTGTGTGCCATTGCGAGTAGGTATCGAAGACTGGTGTGATGTTGGAGAAAATGGAATCATATCAAAGATGTCAGTGGAGGGCGACTTAGGTGTCATACTGCCTACCTGCAATGAAAATAATATGAATTAGGGTAGTATTTCATATAGACACATTGTAATGCTAGGTATTTCATATGCATATGTAACATATATAAACAACAAATTCAGTTGAATCATAAGAGTTTGCCATTTTGTAGAACAAAAATAGTTAAGTATTGGCAATTTCATGTGGTTCTCTTAATTATGACAAATGCTCATTAAGAAGAAAGCAATAGAAAATTTCTGCAAAATAGTAACAATATTATTCCAGATAGATATAAAAGATACAGTGAATGTTTTGGATATATAGAAGTGCTTGCTACTTGTAACAGAGACTTAGATATATTAGAAACTATTCACATAAAAATATGACTTCAGTAAGACACTCTGCTTAAGATCACATTTAAACAGGAATAATTAGACATAAGTGACTCGCCTTCTTAAATATAAGCATTCAAATGCAATTGACTTTTTTGCATTCTCAAAAGTAGGATTTATTTTAGTTTGTATTTATGACTAAACTGATAGTCATTGAAGTACATTTTATTCTTGAAAGATTTCATCAAGTTTTCTGTAATAAATAGCTATCTTATAAACTAAATTAATAATCACCTATGTACTGCCCAAATCATTGAGTTTTCTGACAACAGTCTGGGTCAGGACTCAACACATATAGGGACAGATAAATAAAAATCTCATGAAGTTGTAGCCAAGAATATAAAAATTAGACATTCATCACTTTGTCAAATAGGGGACAATAGGTATATATGTATAGTCTCCTTTGAAAAGCCATCTGATTGGATCAGGGATTTAAAAAAAGAGAATTTCCATTTTGAGGAGAATAGTGATGAAAAATTTGCTTTTCCTGTGAGAATGTGAACAAAGATTGCTTAGAGTGGTTCATATTAAAATTAGATTTCTCAGAATATGTTTACTTTTCTGATTCACAGATGATGCAGGTGATGAAAAATGAGGCTTATGTGTGTAGAGAGTGATGAATTTACTACTCAGCTAAAATAATTGTTAGTACATTATTTTTCATGCAGGAAAATTGCTGTTATCTCCCTTTCGATAACAATTTGTTTATTGTATCCCCTTACCTCTTTTCGCTTACTCAGCAATACCATTCCCTTAATTATCCCATTCCTGTATCGCCTCTCCTTTGTATATCTCTGCTCTTTTTCAGGATACAAAAATTCTAAAATCTTGGCTGTCATTAAAAGCAAAACAAACCAACCAAAATTTTACTTATTCTGTTCCTCTTTAATCTTCCAGCCTCTCATCTCTTTCTTTTTCCTTCAAGGCTAAGCTCTTTGAAAGAGATACTACATGTTCCGTACTAATATTTACTTCATCCAATCTTTAACTCTTAGCAATCTAGATTTTATTCTTTTTGCACTGAACTCTACTGAAATTGCTTTTACCAATGATCTAATTTCCCAATTGCAATATCTGATAGACCCTTTGTAAATTTCTATACTATCACCACCCTATACTTGGTAGTGATAGTGTAGAAATTTACAAAGGATTTCTACACTTTCTGGTATCAGGTAATCAAATAAAACAAAAATGGCACATAAAGGCTCCAGATCACATCCCGTTGATTCAAGATACATCTAAATGTTTGATAACTTTGTAAATAGCACATTTTGGCAGAGTTTAAACAAAATAAATGGGATAATAAAAAAGAGTTATCTGCTTAGCAAATTACATGAGGTCTTGGGATGCTGCTTTCACTGACTGGCTTGGGAAAGCCACATTTAGAAGGTGGTGGTATTAACATTCCCAGTGATAGTCTTGAATCAGGCGAGTTGACAGGAGTGACAGAGATGGAAGAAATATTGAGACAGGGAGATGAATCACCACTACTACGCCAGAAAGAGGATGAACATCTCTGAAACCCATGTTGCTCATGACCAGACATTTTGTGCAGCAGCTGTAAAGGAATGACAGAAAGAGAAATACCCTAAGAGAACAGAAGGCAAGGAGGAAGGGAAAAAGGATACATGAAACTTACTTGTAAAATAGTGTTTTGTTAAGATGATAAGATCATTTCACAGTAACTTTACTAAAATTAAAACATAGAGTTGATTTTTCTATGTCATAGTCCTTAGATTGTGGATTGCTTAATTTGATTTTTTTTTTACCGAAATACTACATTTTTAGATATTTTGAATAGAATATTGCATTAATCAGGACCCGAGAGGACGAGAATGGAGAGAAAAATGAAGAAAGCCTAAAGATTTATTTTGAAGAGGGCTTCTGTAATGAAATGGGAAAAGGAAAGTAATGAGAGAACAGTCGCAGAACTAGGAGAAAACTCTTGTAAATAAAGTTAGAGCTTTGTAGAATTTTCAAAAGGGGTTACAACATACATTTTATATTTAATCCTCAAAACATTCTTTGAAGTTATCAGTAGTAGTAATATTATGTCTTTATTATAGTAAACACATGGGAATTAAGGTCCATAGACTCTTTGTGACTTACAATGGGAATTAAGGTCCACAGATTCTTGGTGACACCCTTTTTTTTTTTTTTTTTTTCCTTAGATGGAGTCTCACTCTGTTACACAGGCTGGAGTGCAGCAGTGCAAACTCGGCTCACTGCAACCCTCGCCTCCCAGGTTCAAGTGATTCTCCTGCCTCAGCCTCCCAAGTAGCTGGGATTACAGGCACATGCCAGCAGAACTGTATAATTTTTGTATTTTTAGTAGAGACAAGGTTTCACCATGTTGGTCAGGCTGGTCTGAAACACCTGACCTCGTAATCCACCTGCTTCAGCCTCCTAAGGTGCTGAGATTACAGGCGTGAGCCATCGCACCTGGCCGGTGACATTCTTAAAATGAAGTAGAAAGCAAATTCAAAATTCAAAATTCAAAATTCAAAACAGTCTGACTCTAGTCATTGTGACCTTTCCATAGTCATGAGAAGCTCCAAATTGTAGACTTTTGGGGGAAGAGAAGAGGTGATTGTCAAGCATCTCAAATGAATCAGAGTGATAATAATAAGCAAGCAATGTACTGGGTTTGAACATCAGTAGTTGCATGACTTTTAGGGGCTATTTCCATTACAGCATGGGAAGCTACTGTTAAGAGCTGAGCTGGAGAGAGCTGAGCTGCCAGAAGTCACAGTGGCCAAATAAACAGCAAGCCAAAATGGAAGTAATAATTAAGTCTTTATTCATTTACTGCTATAGTATAAGCAAGAGACCACAGAGAAGGTGCCTGTTCCATCAATGCTCCATTTTCCTCACAGAATGGCACTGAGCAAGGGTCAGAAGTATCACTGCAGAAGTGAAGCACTGTCTCATTACTTAGGGACTTCAGAACAAAAGGTTCCTAAGGGTTTTTTTCAGACAAGAGACAGTGGGAGGAAAAAGGGAACGGCTAGCAGTAGAAAAGTACTGAATACTGAGTCATAGTTGAGAAAAGTGGTCTCCACGTCCCTCAAATAAGGTGGTCCCAGAAAAGGCCCCTAAGGCCCCCTAAAAGGAGGTCCCTGAATGAAGTTGCCTGGGCTATAAATGCAGATATGCACAAGAGCATGGCTGGCCAGAGGGCCTGAGTACTGCATTCAATTCCTCCAAACTGCACCAAATACAATGTGACCAGGGCACCTTTCTCCCACTAAATACAGTGTGACGGGGTTTGCCAGGCAAAGCCTTTGTAACAGCCTACACTCAGGCCAGAAAGATTGTATTTTCGATTCTGGCCGGGAGCCACATTCCTTAGCTGCAAATCACATTTTAGAGATCTTTCACCACTAAAGATGAATGGCACTTTAAAAATTCAGGCAGCCAAGAAAAATCTGACTTTTTATAAACCTCATTGTAAAAGATAGTAAGTAAAATTAGAATTGGAAGGACCAACAAGTCTGAGGTATGTCCTTAAACTAGGAGGCCCCTCTTCACATATTTCTGGAAGCAGAAGGAAAAAGAAAGCCATGCAAAGTGAGAGATTAAGTTGAGGGAAGGGTTCAGTGTGGAAGCAAAATCTCTGATAGTCTGAGTTATATAACTTATCACTCTATTAATATGCATATATGGATACGTAATTTTTTATTTCTTTATTGATCTCCATTGTAATAAACCTCCAGCTACCTATGTAGAGATGTGTATGTATGCTATTTTTAAAATCTATTTTTGTTCAGTATAACTTACTGCATAATAATTTCATGGTGGTCACATTTTTAATTATAGATTAAACTTGTAAGCTCCTTGTAGGAAAATCTTTGTTTTCTGTTCCCAAATACTCATTACATAACATATTAGTGTCTATGAATATTTATTGTCTAATTTATACTAGAGCATCTTTTTACTTAAACTGTTAATTGATAAGGATGTCTGTACTGAGTAAAGACAATATAGTAAGTGGAAGTTGTCCTTGATATTATCTGAATTAAAATATAAATGGTAATACTCTATATATTTTACAACATATATTAGCCGAAATTCTTTACTAGGTACCTGAAAACAAACTGAAGGTGAAAATAACCATACTTGAAAGTGCTCTGTTATTTTTATCATGGTGTCTGCAGTATGTATTCTCATAGTATGCCTCCCTCGGGGAGGTAAATTTACAGAAATGAAGAATGTATATGTAATACAAAAATAATCTAGTATTTATATACTACAATTTTTTTCAATTTCAAAACGGTAAATCAGGGATATTTGATAATGTCAACAGTTTTGGTAGCTAGAGTTTAAGACTCCGAAACTATCCCTCACAGGTTTTCTTTGAGTCATCAGTAATTTGGCATGTTTTGTTTACATCACATGGGTCTTTAAAGTATAGAATTAGTTGTTCACAACACAAAGAAAAGATAAATGTTTGAGGTGATGGATATTGCAATTGCCCTCATGATCATTATACTTTGTATGCAGGTAACAAAATATCATCTGTACCCACAAACATGTATAACTAATATGTATCAATAAAAATTTTAAAATTAAAAATAAATTAATTAATATATAAAAAATACACTACACATTAAAATCCAGAACTTTTCTCCACAAGTTAGAAAATCTAGAAAATGGTCCCACACATTTGCATGAAAATAATTGACTGGTATTGAATATCTTCTGTGTCTTTCCAGTTAGCCTGTGATTTCAAATTTATCACTCGTACTATATGCCCATTTCACACTTCAGGGTCATAATCTGGGCCATATTGAAGTTTGAGTTTTTGATTCCCAACCTAGAAGCAATTTAAGTCAAGGAATCAGATATTATATCTAATTCCCTATAAAAATGAATTGTTAAGTCCAGCACATTTGAATATGTGGGTAAATTTAGTGCTTGATTCTGTACTAAATGGTTAGGCCTATTCAATAAGGATATGAACATGCAGATGTAGCATCTAAATGGCAAACAGTGACGATTTTGCACTGAAGTTTCAAGGTTCTGGAACTAGTCTTTTTTAGGCTGTTTTTAACTGGTTGAAGATGTTTATGTGATGAAGTAATTAAATACATTGTTGAGAAGAAAAACAGTTTAAGAAATTTTATTCTGGGCTTTCTGTGAGTATTCTGACAGATGCTAGAAACCAAATTTTTTGGACTTACTTACAGAAGTACATGGCACCACTGTTCAACAACTCCTTTACGGTCATAGTTCCAAGTGTCTTTTCTCCTTAGGAACATGCACGGAATCTGAATTATTATACTAAAGTGAATTCTGTGCTCAAAAATTACATGTTAATTATGCAGAAGTTGTTAGGTTATTCAGATATATTAAGAATGAGTATCCATGTTTGAGAACTGTTGTTGCTATGCTTTTGTAGCTCTTTTTCTTCTTCTTTATTTTAAGTTCTGGGATATATGTGCAGAACATGCAGGTCTGTTACCCAGGTATACATGTGCCATGGTGGTTTGCTGCACCTATCAACCAGTCATCTAGATTTTAAGCCACACATGCATTAGGAATTTGTCCTAATGCTCTCCCTCCCTCTTTGCAGCTCTTTTTCTTGTAAGTAGTGTGTTTGTGTATTTAGGCAAGGACGAATATTTCAACCTTGAGTTTTATATAAATGTAATAATAAGAAGAACAATCATAAAAGTGTTTGAATTCTATTAGTAAATATTAAACACATTTAAACAATAACAACAGACACACTGCTTTTAAGATTAAGAAATTATGTAGTAATATCTATAGAAACATTATGATTAAACTGAATTTTTATGTTGTGCTTTTAATTGCACTGACAACACAAATCTCCAAAGACTCCTTAAACATAAAACAAAAATGTCAATTAAAATATAATTTATCATAATTATTAAAATGGCACAGCTCAAAATTCTATTTAGAATTAAGTTAAGAAATAAATTCCCTTACATTTATATATTAAATTAATTTTTTCTAGTTAAAAAACCTGGAAAACTATAAATAACATTAAAGATGGAGAAAGATAATAAATAGTAAAAAATGTTCTTACAGATCTTTCTAGATTATCATGCTGATTTCACATTTTTAAAGTTCATTGTTATATCTTCAATATCACTTTTTAAATAAGGTTTAAAAGTAATAACTTCTCTAATTTAGAAATCATAGCACAAGGTCTTTGTTTTTTTCAGATTTCTACATCTACAGTTGGTTTATAGTCATCTCTTAGTTGTAAGACCTACTATCTTAAACTTTTCACAAGAAACTTGACAGTTAAATGGATATAATTGGTCCACAAAGTGGAAAACTGAAATAAGGAGAGGCTAAATGACTTGACCAGGTACTTATGATCAGAACTGGAATGGGAACATATTTTTCTTCCCATTAGACAGGGTTTATGCTTTCAGAATTATCACGTGCAACTAACAATTACGAAAGTGAAATTGTGGAATGGTAATCATTTTGTGTGGGCATCAAATGTTCTTGAACCAATTCATGTTTAAAGTTTATGCCTTTGTTTAAAGATTCACATTCAGCTTGTTATGTAATTAAGATCTT